CTTTAAGCCAATGCTTAGAAAATGGACTTTTAAGGAATGGAACGATGACCGGCTTACATGGAACCCTTCCGATTTTGATGGCATTGAAGGAATCTTTATCAACCAAAACTTGTTGTGGAAAGCAGATATCGTGATAGTTAATAGGTTTGTGCACTTCTATCTAATATCATCAAATCGTCCTTACTTCTTTGCAGCCGCGCTTCAACTGAGATGGCTTCTGGTGCTCAGCATGCTTACGTAAGTCGGATTTTCTGTAAAGTTTTTTCAAAATTATTTTACAGGTGCAAAGTAATGGCGACATTACCTTGTTTGTATGCAATACTGTTTCTTACTTGTGTCTGATGAATGTAAGTGATGACTACAATATTCATCCTGACTCCGCTTTTTTCAATACTTATTTTCGATGCAATTTATACAATTACAGGTCAAGGACTTCCCTTTCGATAAGCAGGTGTGCTCAGTTGAATTTGCATCCTTTGCTTTTCTCGGTCACGAAATTCAACTCAACTGCAGCATAGCTGGAGACCATATTGACTACTTCGTAAGCGATCTTAGATCATATCACATTTTAGGAGCTTTTATCTCAATAGTACTCGGAGGACTAGTTTGTATCAAATAAGCTTTATCTATAATAGAAATTATCTGAGAAACGAACAAAATCTATACAGATCTATATCGCAATCAGTGATAATCTAGCCGCCACTACCGCAAAATCAGTGATAGTCGCTATCAAAAATTTCGTCTAATCAATGGATGGATACTACGTATCGACGAAAACTTCATGAAAAATCAAAACTGTACATAAATAGAATGACAAAAATAAATGATTGCTATATGCAAATTTCTAAAAGAAACACCTAAGCTAATTTCGCAAAGAAGGAAAGAGACCTATTTCTTACTCAAGTGGCCGAAATTAGCTGTTCATTCGAACTATTTCATGTAAGACCGGGAACTCTACATTTTTGCGCACTTGACGTCCGTGGGATTACTTCACCTTTGGAATTTTGTTTAACCACTTTTGCAGAGTTTTCATTGATTCAACTACCGGGCAACACGTTGAATTTGCCATGGCATTTGACCGGACGGTCTTCTATTGTTCATTCTGTTGAAGCATAGAAAGGTGCGCGTCCTATGCTCAGCCTACGAACTTCCTCTGGGGTGGCCAGTTCAAATCAGCTGAGCTGACTGGAGGATTTAGCAGCGGCTTTACTCGATTATGTAGTGGGCTGAATGTAGTGTGTGTACTCAATAATTCTGAGTATACCACCACCACCACTATTCCCTGATCTACCTATAATTTCCAAGATTGCATAAAAACATCCGGCTGACTGCAGCGTAGAGAAGAATTGAGGTTCTTTTCAAAAAAGGGAGTTTCATCAAAAAATCGTTTTCTGCAAACCATAAGTTAGACCAAATTTCTTTCACTGAATAAGCATCTGTGTAGCAATTCAAGATTTTAAAAGCTTTTTCTTTTTTACGGAACTTGGAAAACGCGGTCAAATTTGACATTTTAAGAAAAGAGATATACTCAATAAATTAGAAATTTGGAAATAATGATTAATCCTGCCAAAGATTGCATAAAAGTGCACATTTTGCTAACTAGCAGCGTAAAGAAGAATTGAATTATCTTGCGAACGGCAACAATCACAGTTCTACTCATTTTGTGCCTCCAATTATCGTTCTTTGAGCTAATCACGACAAGTATTTATTGTAAGTGTTTCTTTTTGAACCCTAAGCTTGTGATGGATAAATTTAGTGTTGGCTTTTTGCTCGGATTCTATGTCGTAATACACTTGCATATACCTACACACTAAATATCCATATGATATCCTTCTTTGCCACACAATTCCCATTTGTGTCAGTGCAATGTAGATAAATCAGGTGGCAAATGAGTTCTACCTACCGGTTACAAACGACAATGCAGCGTGTAACTGCTTTGGCCGAATACCTTCGACTGTAATGGCATAAGAGTGAGCACTGACATGCACTGAGGTTGCTTATGTACATAAAAATTTTAAACCTCGCGAAACGGAGGCGATTAGCGTTTATAGACGGCAAGCCACTCATGCCGTTCATAGTGAGGTGAAAAAATGTAATGCTTTCAGTGCCTTTGGCGAGATTTAGCTTTCATGGCTGATATCGTGGCACCTCATATCTTCACCAATATTTGTGCTTGCCAGTTGCTACTACTGGCTATCGTTAGCCGCATATTGGCAATCACACTCTAGAAAGCTCTGTTTGCTGGCAAGTCTTTAATTGCGCAATTATTACAAAAATGAGCAGTCGCCAAATCCGGTCATGGTTTATCGCTAATATTTCTGATTGTGTCTTCCAAACGCAGTCGCCAATATCGACTGCCAATAGGTCAGCACATTCAAATCGATACGCAAATAACGTAGAGTCTCCAATATTAGCTACTGACGGCCGTCAATGGCCGATTGCGATCGCCAGTACAAAATAGCAACTGGCGGCCGCCAATACTGACGCCGGGCGTTCATCACTTTCGGCGATACGCGTTTTATACGTATCGACTAGACATGAAAACCGTGATTGCCAGTTGCCAATTTCGACACGGGCGATCTCCAGTCGCAGCGGCTGGCGTCAGATACCTGCGACAAATT